TAGACATTCACTGAAAATCTGTGAATGTCCTCAGGCAGATCGTTGATATAAATCTGAAAAACGATGGGGTCGAGTAGAGATCCTTGTGGGGGTGCTGCATTGATTTTGTGGAGTAGCTGAACACCCTCCCACAAGATGGACTGGTCTAAGACTATTTAAACAGCACTCTCTCTTATTGATTTTAGTGAATAAGATTTGAAAATACGAGATGCTTATGCAGTAAGTTTTTTTTTTTTATTTTAACTTTCTTCAAACAGACAATAGTTTTTAATGAGTTAAAGACAGTCACAAAGAGATCCCGATTTGCTGTTTCGTGTAGTTGTTTGTAGAGTATTTTTTTTATATTTCACCTTTCTCTAAACAAACAATATTTTAAATATTTAAAAATAGTTTTGGCATATTTAAAAAATATTTTCTAGTGAATATTTTTAAGTTAATATGATTTAAAGTTCAAGTTTACCCCGGGAGTTCTATTCCTATTAAAAGCTGTAAACGATCAGTAAAACGTTAAATATGAACTTGTAAAGGAGACCAATTATGACACAAACAAACTGAAATATTTAACTGAATCATAGTGATGTAATGAATATGTATACACCTGGGTTCCCCCTTGCAGTAATATAATTTTCTGGTGTCAGCCATAAGTACAGACTGATGTGGAGGTACAGGAGCACGCCTATTGTCTTCGCCTATTGCCTACCACTACGACGAGGACCAGTCCATTACAGTTACCAGCTAGATTGTCTTACCCGGTTACAATAGCGAACAACCACTTTGCTACTTCGAAAAAATATATCCCTTTCTGGGACATTATCAGTTGGCGACGAGGATGAGATCCAACTGATATGCCCCGGAAAGGGATATATTTCTTCGAAGTAGCAAAGTGGTTGTTCGCTAACCGGGTAGGACAATCTAGCAGGTAACAGTAATGGACTGGTCCTCGTCGTAGTGGTAGCCAATAGGCGTAGCCAATAGGCGTAGGCAATAGGTGTCCTCCTGTACCTCCACATCAGTCTGTATTTATGGCTGACACCAACCAATTATATTACTGTGAGGGGAAACCCAGATGTATGCATATTCATTACATCACATAGTAAAATTAAATTTCATTTCAGAGTTCATGCGTAGATGTTAGAATTATAGAGTTGAGGTAGACTTTAGAAGGAACTGGAAACCCAATCCTAAACGAGTGACTTTCGTGGAAGAAAAGTAATGAGTACAAATTATATGAATCATAAAAACAGATTTTTTTTTCTCTTGTTATTCCATAAATTATAATCAAACTTAATTGCTACATAAATTTCACAACTTCCTCGTATTGATAGTTTAGATCACTGCGTTTCAGACGATTTGTTCTCTGGCCTTCCGAATGTTGTCTGCAGCTAAGAATTTAACGCCTTGCCACATTGAAGTATTCGGATGAGTATTTATATCTTTGTTGTTTGATTACTGCATTTCAAAACAGTTTGTTCTCCATCTTCCCTAATATTGTCGGAAGTTCAGAGATTAAGACCGTTTGCTATGAATTATTCAAACGAGTGTCCTTGTCTTGATTTTTTGGATCGCTGTGTTTCAAACGATTCGTTCTCCGCCTTTCCACTAAAGTCGAAAGTTCAGAATTTTATGCCTTCTCCCATTGAATTATTCAAACGAGTATCATTTTCTTTATTGTTTGGTTGATTGTTTTTAAAACGATGTATTCTCCGGCCTTCCTAATAATGTCTAAAGTTCAGAGATTAAGACCTTCGCCCATGAATTCTTCGACCGAGTCTCCTTGTCTTTATTGCTTGGATCGCTACGTTTCAAACGATACATTCTACGGCCTTCTTAATAGTGTCGGAAGTTCAGAATTTGATTCTTTCACCATTGAATCATTTGGACGAGTATCTGCGTCTTTGTTGTTTGCATTTCAAACGATTCGTACTCCAACCTTCCTAATATTACCGGAAGTGGAAAGATTAACACCTTCGCCCGTGAATTAATCGAACGAATATCCTATTCTTTATTTTTTCTTTCAGTGTTTTTTAAACGCTTCATTATCCGGCTCTCCTAGTGTTATCTGAAGTTCAGACATTAAAACCGACTTCTATGAATTATTCGAACGAGTATCCCTGTCTTTATTGTTTAGATCACTGCATTTCAAACGTTTCGTTCTCCGGCCTTTTCAATATTGTTTTAAGTTCATCCAAATTAGGCATTCGCTCGTGTCCTTATAGCATTTGCTTGTCACATTTTTCATTTATTATGAACCATTTCATGGAAATTATGAAAAAGAAGAAAATAAAATTTATTCATGCATTCACAAAAGGATTTTTTCTTTCACCCACGAGAACGTTTAATATATGCAATGAGTTGCAACATCTTAAAAACAAACAACTATAAAGCACTATAAATAAAATAATCTATAATATCAAAATGATTTTTAATATTATTAAATATTTTTTCAAACAATAATAACCCCAAAATACGTATCAGCTTTTTGTAATGTGTGCACGCATTTAAACAAGCCTGGATTTAATCATGCATAACTGTTTACAAGTTCACAGCATGGCGAACACATATACTTGCACGCATGCGCACTCTAGGGGAGCCCTTGAGCGGACGCATGCGCATAAACTAGTTGGCTGGAATTCCCTGATAACATAGATGGCTTAGTCATCAGCAAAGACAGTCGCTGTGGTTAATGTAAACATACTGGACGAAGAAAAGGTTGGAAATGATTGGACGAGAAAGTAGAAGGAGAAACGAAGAAAGCTGGAGAAAAAAAGAAATATGAATGAATTACATCATATAAGAAATACAATCTTAAATGAAAGAGAAAAAGGAATGAAGGAATAATTGAGAAATAAGAAGAAAGAACGAATGAATAACTGATGAAAAAAAGGACATAACGATGAAAAGTAAAGAAAGAAAGGAAGAAGAAATATAAAAAGCAAACGAGAAAGAGAGCAGTTAAGAAAGAAAGAATATAAGCGAAACATAAAAGAAAAAGAGAGTATAATCAAGAAAGAAAGAATAAAAGAGAAACGTAAAAGAGAAAGAGAGTATAATCAAGAAAGAAAGAATATAAGCGAAACGTAAAAGAGAAAGAGGGTATAATCAAGAAAGAAAGAATATAAGCGAAACGTAAAAGAGAAAGAGGGTATAATCAAGAAAGAAAGAATAAAAGAGAAACGTAAAAGAGAAAGAGGGTATAATCAAGAAAGAAAGAATAAAAGAGAAACGTAAAAGAGAAAGAGAGTATAATCAAGAAAGAAAGAATATAAGCGAAACGTAAAAGAGAAAGAGGGTATAATCAAGAAAGAAAGAATATAAGCGAAACGTAAAAGAGAAAGAGAGTATAATCAAGAAAGAAACAAAAACAAAAACGTGTAATAAAATCATATGTGAATAAAAAAGACAGATTAGTTAAAAAAAAGAAACAAAGAACACAAGTGAGCAATAAAAACAAACATATATATATATATATATATATATATATATATATATATATATATATATATATTTTAATATATAATTTTTAATTTATAATTTTAATATATATAATTTATAATTTTAAAAAAATCAAGGATTATAACATTCATCGAGTGATTAGAAGGCTATTGCATCTCTTAAATTTTGTTAGGGAAGAGATTTCGCCATTTTATACCATTAACTTTACTAATCTACTTTTTGTATAAATGATTCATTGTAATATAAATTGAACTGCACCACAAATTTGATTTCAGAGAACTGATCCGACGTGCAAATTTTCGGGACAACAACTGAGACATTACGCTGCACGCTCCAAAAGTTTGTATTCGTTATCAATAACACATTAAAAAAAAAAAAAAAAACAAATTTCGATTCGCGTTATATTTTTCGTCCCGGATGCTACCTGAATTTTACTAAAAATAAAATAATTGCCATGCCTGAAGATGACTGAATGTACAGTCGAAAGTGCTTATGTATTTAAGAAAGAGCTTATACAGCTTTAATTAAAAAAAAACAAGGATCATAACATTCATCGAGTGATTAGTAAGTTATTGCGTCTTTAAAATTTTGTTAGCAAAGTGATTTCGCCATTTTATATCAACTTTACTAATTTACTTTTGTATGAATGATTCATTGTAATATAAATTGAACTGCACCGCATACTTTATATATATATATATATATATATATATATATATATATATATATATATATATATAGGGTCAGTTGGGCACCGTTTGTGGAAAAAGTACTCCATGTAATTCAATCTGGCAGTATAGTATGCCTGGAAAAGGGATACTGTACTGTCTGGAATTCCCCAGTGCAAACATTTCAGTGTGTTTGGGTTTTAATCTGAGGATTTGGAAAGAGTTGGATGAGTCTAATGATGATTACGAAGGTACGGTAGCTCGGAAAACTCACTCTTACCGTTCTGAATAGAAAGGAAGTCCTAAATTCTTTGGTGAGGGACTCAGACTCAACACGAATGTCCACACCAAGTACTTTGAGAAGGTAGTGCTGCCCTGGGATAAGAGGATAGCTGCTGGAAAATACTAACTCTGGCAACAGGACTCTGCACCATGCCACACAAGGATATATTTAGTGTATTGGGACAGCAAATCATTATTTAAATATATATTGTTAAATATAACAGACAATGAATGTCTATAATGTTTTGATCATAAGCCGCTCTAAGCTTCTTATAGTTGCTTTAATAACAAAATAGCCAATTGCTGGGCAGATTTCTCTCTATTTTCTCCCGAAATTAAAGCAACTATACGGAAAAAAAAGAGAAAGAAAGAAAGAGAAAAAGAGAAAAGGAAAGACAGGAAAAAGTGAGAAGAAAAAAATCAAAATTCGAGAAGAAAGGACAAAGAAAGACAAGAAAAAAGAGAGAATGGAAGAAATTGAAAAAGAGAAACAAAAAAATGCAAAAAGTCGAGAAAAAAACGACAAAGGCATGAAAATGAGAGAAGGAATGAAATCAAAAAAGGAAGAAGAAAAAATGACCAAAAGTCGAAAAAAAATTAAAAAAGAGAGAAAAGAAAAAAAGAGAAGGAAAGAAAGAAAAAGAGAGAAAAGAAAAAAGAAAAGGAAAGAAAGAAAAAGAGCGACGAGAAAAAAGACAAAAAGAGGAGGAGAAAGGAAAAAGAAAGAGAAGAAAGAATAGAAAAGAAAGGAAATACAGACAAAAAGTCGAGAAGAAAGGACAAAGAGATACAAGGAAAAAGAATGAAGGAAAGAAAGGAAAAAGATAAAAAGACAAAATGTCGAAAAGAAAAGACAACGAAATACAAGAAAATAAGTGAAAAGAAAGAAAAGAAGAGAAGAGAAAAAGTCAAAAGTCGAAAAGAACAAAACAAAAAGGAAAAAGAGAGAAGGAAAGAAAAGAAAAGGAGAGACAAGAAAAACGACCAAAAGTCAAGGAGAAAGAAAAAGGACAAAAAAGTGAGAAAAAAGAATGAAAGAAAGAAAGGACAAAGAAAGAGAAGAAAAAAGAATGAAAGAAAGAAAGGACAAAGAAAGAGAAGAAAAAAGAATGAAGTAAAAAAGCGACAAAGAAAGTGAGAGAAAAGAAGGAAAGAAAGAAAGGACAAAGTAATGGACGAAAAAGAATGAAAGAAAGAACAAAGAAAGACAAGAAAAAAGAATGAAAGAAAGAAAGGAGAAAGAAAGAAGAAAAAGAATGAAGGAAAAGAAGAAAGAAAAGAAAAGAAAAAAGGACAAAGAATGGACGAAAAAGAATTAAAGAAAGAAAAGAAAAAAATGAAAGACAAAAAAAAAAGAATGAAAGAAAAAAAGGAGAAAGAAAGAGAAGAAAAGAAAAAAAAAAAAAGAAGGAAAGAAGGGACAAAGAAAAAGAGAAAAAAAGAATGAAAAGAAAGAAAAGACTAAGAAAGAGAAGAAAAAGAATGAAAGAAAAAAGGACAAAGAAAAGAGAAGAAAAAAGAATGAAGGATAAAATGGACAAAGAAAAGAAGAAAAAAAAAAAGAATGAAAGAAAAAAAAAAAAAAGAAAGAGAAAAAAAAGAATGAAAAGGAAAAAGAAGAACAAAGAAAGAAAAGAAAAAAAGAATGAAGGAAATAAGGGACAAACAAAGTGAGAAAAAGAATGAAAAAAAGGACAAAGAAAGAGAAAAAGAAAAAAGAAAAAAAGGACAAAAGAAAAAAAAAAAACAAAGAGAGAAAAAAGGAAAAAGAATTAAAAAAAGAAAGGAAGAAAGAAGGAAAGAAAGAAAAAAAGAATTAAAGAAAAAAAGGACAAAGAAAGAGAGAGAAAAAGAATGAAGGAAAAAAAAGGATAAAAAATGAGAAAAAAAAATGAAAGAAAAAAAGGACAAAGAAGGAGAAGAAAAAAGAATGAAGGAAAAAAAGGGATAAAATAGTGAGAAAAAAGAATGGAAGAAAGATATGATAAAGAAAGAGAAGAAAAAAGAATGAAGGAAAGAAAGGACAAAGAAAGAGAAGAAAAAAGAATGAAGGAAAGAAATGATAAAGAAAGAGAAGAAAAAAGAATGAAAGAAAGAAAGGACGAAGAAAGAGAAGAAAAAAGAATGAAAGAAAGAAAGGACAAAGAAAGAGAAGAAAAAAGAATGGAAGAAAGATATGATAAAGAAAGTGAGAAAAAAGAATGAAGGAAAGAAAGGACAAAGAAAGAGAAGAAAAAAGAATGAAAGAAAGGAAGGACAAAGAAAGAGAAGAAAAAGTATGAAAGATAAAAAGGACAAAGAAAGAGAAGAAAAAAGAATTAAAGAAAGAGAAGAAAAAAGAATGAAAGAAAGAAAAGACAAAGAAAGAGAAGAAAAAAGGATGAAAGAAAGAAAGGACAAAGAAAGAGAAGAAAAAATAATGAAGGAAAGAAGGGACAAAGAAAGTGAGAAAAAGAATGAAAGAAAAAAGGACAAAGAAAGAGAGAAAAAAGAATGAAAGAAAGAAAGGACAAAGAAAGAGAAGAAAAAAGAATGAAAGAAAGAAAGGACAAAGAAAGAGAAGAAAAAAGAATGAAGGAAAAAAGGGATAAAAAAAGTGAGAAAAAAGAATGAATGAAAGAAAGGACAAAGAAAGAGAAGAAAAAAGAATGAAGGAAAGAAGGGACAAAGAAATAGAAGAAAAAATAAAGAAAGAAAGAAAAGAAAGGAAAAAGAAGAAAGAGAAAGAAAGAATGAAAAAGAATGAAGGAAAAGAAAGGACAAAGAAAGAGAAGAAAAAGAAAAAAGA